TGCACAAAAAATAAAATAACATTCATGTATAAAAAAATTCTCTTGCACAAAATGTTTGTGCCGAATTTTCAACACTGCATAGCGATGACCAACTTTATTTTATTATTGTTATTTACCAAATTTATACAATAAATACAATCCAATTATAATTTATGCAAACGTTAACTAATTTGATACACAATATGTATAAAATAAAGCAGTTTATTGCTTTGATTTTTTTCAATATTATGAGTGTGAATTAAATTTTCAAAATCAAAAAAAGATATTTTATATAAATAATTTTGTTTTTGATATTTTAATTTTAAACCTATTGTTATAGTATATTATAGCCAAAGATTACTAAGCCTATAAAATTTTTTATATATAGTATATAGTAATAAAAAACTAGAACTTAAAGACTATTACATTGTGATCAATATCTTAACATATATTTTATATCTTCAAAGTTATTATTTATCTTTTAAATTGTAATGCAAATACTAATTTTATCAGTATACAAGTCTTGCCACAGAGATTGTAATTACGAATTAGACTTTACAATAAGTATATCTGTATTTATATTTGGGTAGTAATAGAGTACTCTAATTTTCTATATTGCACTTGCTAACTAATTTACTATTATATTACTTGTCTCTGATGACTAGATTTATTCTTTTATAAACTTAGTTCGTGACATTACATGTTATAAATTTTTTTTAGAAATTTTTAATTTTTTAAAATTTTAACTAAAAAATTTATTGTCACAGCTGATGCTGAAATTTGGGGCCTCGATTTGAAAACATAAACTCTTCCAAGCTCCTCATTAATGGTGTGATTTTAGGACTTTAAAAGAGCTGCTCACGATTAATAGAATTTCTGTGGTTTTAACCCGGATATTTTACGTAAGGGATATGATAAAAAGGGAAATCTTTTAATTTCTTTAATTAATGCGGTAAGGTAAAATCATGGTATTTGGGAAATGAAAAGTTATGTACGTGCGTATTTATTATCTTGAAAGATGTGAAAGCCAGGAGAATAACATATAGTGGTCCGATTCGATTGGTTGATTCTAATTACCAATGCAAGTAGCCACACAAATAATAAACAAACACGAATTAATCAACCATGCTGAGCATGAGGCTGTGCATCATTTCCTTTGGGAAAATTCATGATGTACAGATGTACATACTTAAAAATATCGACGTAATTTGGTTAATTATTCGATTACCGTTACTTTCTTTTCTTTACCTTAAAAAAAAAAAACTCTAAATATATATTTTATGATGAATCGTATCCTGTGGCCGTTGTTTATTAGCATCTTGATCATTCTGTCAATACTAACTGAAATCAGAGCAAATGAGAATACTTTAGTAAGGTTTCAACTGAAAATTGTTCATTCTTTCGAAGAAAATTTTGCTTAAGTATCACTTTTTAATCGAAATAGTCTAATGACGCCCTTTATCGACAACGATGTTCTGGGATGTATTTTAAAAATGACATTCCGGGTGGTGGATCTGATTCGATAATTACTGGTGAACATTTTTGAAAATTAAATAGTTATGAATCAATTTTGTATAATAGTCTTTATAACACGATGTAATGTATCATATAATTAGTAAAATACGATAAAAATTCACATACAAATGTGGCAGCAATCGTATATGAATGGCCTGATAATGAGAAATTTGGATATCCTGTTGATTCCGGAGCAAATGTAATTTTTTTTTCAATTATTGTTTTTATTTTTTTTTTATTTTTATTTTTTTTATTGTATTGTTTTAATTACTTAAATCATATAAATTATTAGAAAGTATATATTTGCGATCAAAATGCGATAGCAGCAAAATATTGCCCCCAATCACAACTTGGGGGTTTTATTGTCACCACCAACAAAACGTCGAGTATTGTTACTCATGTATTCAATTCTACGAAAGGTGGACAAAGTTTCACATATACTATCAACCGAACCGGATATTACTGTGTTGCAGCGTAAGCCATACCACTTCTTTAATTTGATTGCTATAAATTCTCCATATAACACTTTTTTTTATATATAAAATTTAGACTTCCATCTCCCATAAGTGATCAGCAATTTATTGTAACTGTGGGCTGGAAAAACCCATATGGAGAATTGCCTGCTTTGGATTATCCTAAATTGCCGGTATTTTCTCAAAAAATTTCATTGATTTTTGTTCATTTTTTGAGGTTTTTTTTTTTGACTAATTTTTAAACAGTTTTATGGAGTTTTGACACTTGTCTATTTACTTATTGGAATCATATGGACGGTACTTAGCGTAATTCATAGGCACGATCTCTTAACAGTGCAGGTACAGTTTCCCCCTTTTTTTTTTTTGCAGTTGATGTTTAATTGCTTATACAATTTTGATTCTAGCACTATCTATCAAGTGTGATTCTATTTATTATTATTGAAATGGCCTTTAATTGGGGATATTGGGTGAATTTTAATACGTACGGAGATTCATGTAAGTTATATTTGCATG